TGGAAGCGCCACCCAGACTGCTTGTTTGGCACTTTGGAGGAGTTGAATTTGAAGGGTTGTAGGTTGGCTCCTGAGGAGAGAGGGTTCAGGATTGAGGGTCAGAGAGTTAGACTCTGATCAGGAAAGCACTGCTGGGCTCTTATAAGATTAGGCTTTTCCTCTTGGAATAAGAAGCAGGAGGACTATTGTTGTGTTATGTTTAATTTTGTTAAATAAAACACAGAAGTTGGAGGCAAAGTCCATTGGTGGATTTTGAAGAGGACTGGAGGGCCATCATTCAAGTGTCCTGAGAGGAAGATTAAAGGTGTACAAGGGCTGTACTAGTGACCCAGAGACATTGGTGCTAAACAAGGTGTGTGCCCAAAAAGGGGGTGATTATGACATAGGCTGTGGTGCTTCTGCCTCTTAATGTAACCAGCTCCCTGACTGAAACCCCAGGTGCAGCTCAAGTCACTTGCAATGAGCCATATGCTATATTTACACTATTGCTTTTCTTAGAAGAGGCTGGGGCAGCAGAGAAACAAAATAATTATACACAGATATAGAAGAAACAAACACGTAGGATATAGCATGAAAGACATTTGTGCTGGGAAGAAAGAAGGTGATTTTAGGATGAGAGCAAGAGGGATGAGGACAGGTGTGGGCTGACGGAGTGGGGACAGAGAGGTAAGAGAATAGGAGAGATGGGGGGAAGGGAAAAAGGGGGAAATAAGTTACAAGAAGGACTAGTGCAAAAATCCTGATTCATTTTTGTTTATCAAAATTTTACATCTCAGTTTTTCAATGCACTCTCTAGTGAGGATGGCTTTAATGTGACCCTGGTACTTCTTTGTTATTCTGTATCATCCACTAATATACTAATTTTTTCACAAGTCTCTGCCCCAAAGAGACCATCATCTGAATGATAGAGTTGACAGACAAGTGATGTACACTACATCTACCAGGGAGGAGAGGAAGGATGTGGATTACAGGGTTTGTCTACATTAGGGATTTTTGTGGCTCCCTTATTTTGAAACCAGGATAAGATGCTCAAGTGCAAGCCTTATTGTTACATCAGTGCAGTACATCTACATTTCACTTTTGATATGAATGCTGTAAAAAAAAAATCCAAATCCCATGAACTTCTTGAATTTGTATAATTGTTCAGTGACCATAGAGACAGGACCTAACAGTGTTCAGAGTCACATTTTCAAAAGAGTTTTTGAAAGGAGCTGCTAGGTGCTGAACTTTTTGAAAATCTGGCCATTATTTATTATCATTATTTATTACTTTTATAAGTGCCTTATTGTTTCTTTCAGCATTGCTCAGTGGGAAAATCTACTTCCCTTTAGGGCCGCCACATTTGTTTATCTTTCTCACTTATCTTCTTCTGTTTCTCTCCTCATTCATTCCTCTGCATTTCCCTACTCCTGGAGCACACTCTGTGTCCTGGCTCGCCTTTGGGCCTCAGCCTGGGCTCTCTGATGGCTCTCTGCATGACTGCACCCATCTTAATCCGTCTTCTCCAGACTGAGAGGTTGTGGGCACGTCTCCTAGTTGTCAGTGGGAATACTGAATTTCTTGAGACCTTGCTTGACCTTGTCACTTTATCAGAGCTTTGGCCTTCCTCGGTGTCACTGGCAGTTCTTGAATTGGCCATAAAGCACAGCCTTTAGCAGATGATCTTGAGGCATATACTCCATATGTCTCAGCTAGCGAAAGCTGCAAGCATCCAGTGTAGTCTGCATAGATGTATGCCGGTTCTCTCAAAGATCTCATTGTTAGTGATCCGTTGGTCCCAAGTGACTCCAAGGATTTTTCTGAGACAGTGAAGGTGGAAGCTGTTCAATCTCCACTCCTGTTTGGAGTAAGTGACCCATCTTTCACAGCTGTAAAGGAGGATATTGAGGGCACAAGCCCGATAAATGGACACCTTTGTGTTCCGGGTTAGCAGCTTGTTATTCCAGACACATAGGGTAAATTTACCAAAGGTGACAGAGGTTTTTCCAATTCTCACATCCAAGTTCTCTGTCAAAGCTAAGTGAGCTGGTTAGAGTTGAGTAAGATAGCAGAAGTGATCCACGTTGTCCAGAGCTTCATTATTGATGGTTGGCATCATGGGTCATGGGTGGCAGGTTGCATAGGTTGGGGGAGGCTTTGCCTCCCCAAACAGCCAGGTGTGACCCCACCTCCTGCCGTGATCACTCCCTGCGGCAGCGCGCAGCTCCAGACTTCCAGCTCCAAACCCCCAGTGCTCCGCTGGGGCTGGGGTCATGTTCCTTCCTGTGCTCAGGAGCTGGGGAGGCTGCAGTCGTTGGCTGCTTGCCCTCCTGGGCTAGGGAAGCTGGGGCCACACGCCGCCAGCCCTTCTGGTGCTACTTTGGGGCCTAGACGTGGAACAGGGCTGGTGGCTGTGGTGTTGCGGGGGGTGGCTCTGGGCTCCGTTGGGGGGGTGGGTAGTGCAGAAAGAAGGACTTGGCTCCAGTGGGGGGTGGAAGGGGCGGGGCCTCGGCCAGAAGGGGTGGGGTGGGGGTGGGGGCTAGCCTCCCCCAGCTTGTAGTTCAGGCGCTTCCCATGTGCCTGGTGACACGATGTGATAGGGTGAACTCATGCCACACTGGACAGGAAAGGGTTAACTCCTCACTGTGGGCAGAAGAAGCCATGCCCCCACGTCCCTACTGGGCATGCTCCAGGTGTAACACCAGTATAAGAGGAAGCAACCCAGCTCAGTCTGGGCTGATCACCGGAGAGGAAGGATGCTCTTTGCCAGCTCCTGCCCAGGAATCACTGGAGCCCTGGACCATGGAAGCCAGAGGCACCGAGACCCAAGCAGATGCCCAGCTACCTGTGTATGCCCCAGGGAGGTCTGAGCTACAGGGAATTGGCACTGGCCGAGGAACATGGAGACCACGAAGACACACGGACCGCCACTACGAGTATCACAGTAGGAAGTAGCCCGGGGCGGGACAAGCCATTGTCCTGATGATGGTCAGCGTGTTGTGGACAGATCCCTGCTGACCCAGTGGTGGTGCACACTTGCCACTGACAAGGCCCTGGGCTGGGATCCAGTGGAGTAGGGAGGCCGGGTCCCCGTATCCTGACTGTTACCCTCTCCCGCTCCAGGCTGGCGGCCCACACACAGCAACTGGCCAGTAGGCCATACATCCCCGCCCCGGGGGGCTATTCTATTGACTCTGGCCACTGGGTCTTACTGCCCTGTGAACCCAGGGTATCTCTGTTGATGCTGGCCACTAGGCCTTTCTGTCCTGCGAACCCAGAGTATCTCTGTTGACTCTGGTCGCAAGGCCTCGCTGCCCTCTGAGCCTGGAGTAGCTCTAGTGACCCTGGCAGTGAGACCTCACTGCCCTGTGAACCAGGGTAATTCTATGGACTTCGACTGTTAGGCCTCGCTACCCTGCGGAGAAGGGCTACCTCACTGACTTGAGCCACAAAGCCCTACTGCCCAGCGGATCAGGTTGATTATATAGACTCTGGCTAGTAGGTCTTACAGCCCTGCCGATCAGGGCAACTCTATTGACTTTTAACCCTTAGTTCTCACTGCCCAGAGACAAAGGGCAATTCAAAGGACCGGGTGAACTCACCCCGCACTGGACAGGATTCCCCACACCCCATCACACATGACAACTGTTTTCTTGATACTGATTACCATGCTGAACTTGATACATGCATCAGAGAATGTGTTCATCATGATCAGCAATTCATCATGTGAGTTAGAGATGAATGCAGCATCATCTATGAAGCGAATATCCCAAATAGTGAGCTGGATGACTTGGCTTTTGATCTGAAATCAATATATGGATGGTTATTCCCAGCTGTTTTTTTCACCTGTTTCAATTCCCCCCCCTTCCTGCTTGATGACTCCGTTTACTGCTTAAATGCAAATTAAGGCAAGCATGCATTCCTTCCTTTGTTTAGGACAGACCTGACTTCTGATTGGGCAGTGCTGTGGTGTCTGGAACATGCGTTAATAGCATCATACAGGGAACGTTATAACTTCACAACAGTGTTGCTACACATATTTTATCAGGACAATACTGACCAGCACATTTATGGGTTTTCAAATGATATCTTTACAAGGCATACATTGTACTAAAATTATTACAATAATGGGTGTGAATACAGGGTGTAATCTGTCACATCCAACAACTCCATTTTTTTGTCTGCCCCCTGTGACTCCACCTGCTGAAATAATCAGCAATAAAACAATTAATGTTGATATTTATGGTATTGCCATTAGGATTGGCATTAAAAGCCAGTGTTATGAGATTATATTTCAGGAACACAATCCCAGTTGCCTTTCAGTTTTTCTAAACACACTGTTTCTAGTACTAGGGTTCCTGCCATGCTTATTCCACAGGATTCTGGTAAATTGTGTGGGAGAAATGCCCTCTGCAGATGTACTACCTCTCACCTTTATAACGTGCCCTATGGCTGCTTGACAGCTTTAAAGAATTGGAATGTGTCTTCTTTAAATGTATCTGGTTTCAGTGCCCTGTTACACTATTTGGAGTGGGGGAGGGGAATGGAGAAATCCTGAATTGAGAGAAACTAGCCTCAGCATCTGAATTGGGAGGCAGTCATGGGAAATGCAAAAATGGTAAATCAATCTGGCCCTAACCACAAGAAGCACAAAATCTGACTTAGGCCTTGCACTTCCAGGGGCCTTGCACAGACTGGCAATTTGCAAGCTTGACCAGAGACCCCTCTGACACTGGGAGTGGCAAATGTTGGTTCCTCCTAGTCAGGAGGGGACAGAGCCAGTTGGAAGGGCTAGCAGTGTGGCAGTAGTTGCTGCTATCAGTGACATGCCAAGATGGGTGAAATTAATGTTGGACCATCTAAAATGCAGATGAAAACTTCTGTCCAAATAATTTGGCTGCATTTTTCCTCAGATACTACAGTGAGCATGCTGAAAATAAACAAGTAAGATTATTACTGCTCTTCCTGCTATTCACAACAATTCAGTCATTTTTGTCCAACCCTAATGTTTTTATTTGCAGGCAATTCCTCATTTCAGCTACAAGAGTGAGCTGCTTCCGTCACCATCTCAGTGAAATATCTCTGATGCTTGTTGGTAGGTAGCCTTACTCCTCAGCATTGTCTTGTTTCCTCCTACATAATTTGTTATCTTGAAATACAAACCCCATTTTTCACCAAAAGCACCAGTGGCTTTTCTCATTGACCACTAGACATTCTGGTCTTGTCTCCTCTCATTGTCATGGCTCACATTACTAGCATCAGGCTGGGGAGGAGGAGTAACCCATCCCCTCACTGATAAAGGTAATGGGAGTTCCGCCTCCACGTTATTGTAGAGCTGGCTGGCACTCCACTAAAGTTAAGGTTGGGAACACCATTCTGTTAAAGATGATTCTTCTAAATGCTCTAAAATCTGCACACAAATTCTGAGTGTCTTGAAATTTACTGTACCTTATCAAGAGAATAAGGTACAGTAAATGTGGAGAAATTAGAGAGGGTCCAGAGAAGAGCAACAAGAATGATTAAAGGTTT